AATGCACTCGCATTGCGAACACACACACAGACAGCCTCTCGACAATATGCGTTTTTGCTGGCTGCGTTTTTGCTGTGCAGCGCTATAGCGCTGCTATAGCGCTGCACAGCAAAAACGCATAAAAAGCAACCCTTCATGCAAAAAACCGGTACTCTTGCACCTGAATGTGCACCACCTTCATCCCAGTTATAATGCACCTCCTTCATCCCAACTGATGCCATTCGTCCTGCATGCTGGTAAGGATCAAAACACGGCCAATATTAGCCCAAGTGTTAGGCTACAGCGTTGGGATCATTCCTGCTAGTAACAATCTGCGAGTTTATTGCAAAAACGCATGATCGCACCGGAGTACGTTCGAGCCTGGGTTGCATGTTATTTGACAGTTCTTTCGAAACAACTGTATGCGTACGTTTGCTTCTTTCATGCTTGCGCTAATGGCTGATCTCGAATATCTTTTATTCTGGAACCAGCGCGGCTGATGGGCAAAGCTAAAAAAGGAATGAGAAAATCGAGGAAGAAGTGAACTACTTTTAGCGGAAGTTCTGACTGCTTTGCTAATTTATATTGCTAAATTCAGCGAAACAAAAAAGACTTTGTTTAGGGAAGCTGTCCACGAACGAATAATTCCTGTCAAGGTGGTTAAAGCGGATCCGACTATGCGGGCTGATTCGGGAAGAAGCGAGACAAAATACGATACAAATGCATTTATCAAAGAGCTGAATTCATCAGAAACACTGGCATACAGTCCAGTGATAAAACGATATGTTTATGATCCGGGAACTCTGACACACAAGGAATACATCATTAAAATGCACAGAGATGGAGAAGTGCCAGCCCATGAATATTTGGACGTACAAAGCTTTGCTGCAACTTCGAGCCCCTTTGGTAAGCTTTAATCAGGAAGATATTCCACCAGGTATCAGTCCTGATGTCAGTTTCGACTCTTGAAATGATCATCAGCTCAACAGAGATTATTTGCTTCAAATAAAAGCAGTCAAACTAGCAAGTTTTTATGTTTGTCTACTATTTCTCCTTTGTTATCACTCTTCACTTTAATAATTTGAAGGAATGAAACCTCTACGAGCGGTGCGTTCGCCACACGAAACACTAATCAACGATGTGCCATTCGAGAATGTAACGAAAGAAACACTGTCATCTGACAACAGCGACGATTTCGCATATCAACACATCAAAGGCAGTCCTCCACCAGAATACGGCCTCGAAACTGTTAGAGTGCTAGAACAGGTACCAGATGCTAGTATCACTCAGCAAAATATGATGACTGGTGCTAAGCGAGCTTTCGCAGCAACCGATGACTCGGAGCCACAACAAACCACGGTAAGTAGCATTGTTTCTTGAGAACACTAAAAATAGCCAGAACACTTCCGCTTCAGCGAAATTTCCCCGGTTTACAAAGGTAAATTTTAAAGTAAAAACGATGTGAAGCTGCTTTTTTCCTGGTTCGATGTTTTTCTGCATGTGGCAAGTATTCAACTTTGCCGCACTGTGATAATTTATCACTCCAAAATCAGCTCGAGATATCAAGGTTTATCACTCTCTATCAAACCCCAAACTGGGAAAGATCAGTGTAGGCTTGTTTGTTAGCTTATATTATCAGCTGTGGATCTATAATAGAATCAATCAATAACCAAATTTTTGTCTATTTTGGGCTCAACATCCGAAATCAGTGGTGCAACGGCAAATTGCGAAGAGGACTTCATCGAGTGGTAGTACTGAAAAGGCGAAGCATTCTTATATCTTATCAGAGCCGAGAGCAAATGCAACAGTGCGGACAAGTTGGTCACGTCCATCGGACAGTGCGCGTGTTATGCAAACTGAAAAAATCACTATGAGGTTTTTCCCGATTGGCTTTATTTGATTTAACTCATATTAAAATTCCGTCTTTATTTCTTCCTTTTTTATGAAAAACGGTCTAGCTTGAGAAATAGCGCACTATTAGCACCAAAAACTGGACGAAAAAGCTGTTGTAGCTGGACTTTGCGAAGCGATTTGTTAAAGAGCGGGCTCGCTGCGAATTAAAATTCTTAAAAAAGGCACAAGTTATCCAGCGATGGTTTATCCTAGCTAAGTTGGTTTATCCTTCAGCAAAACTGAAACCCAGCATAAACGTGAATTGGAGCGGCACTTGTCATTAAGCTAAGACCGCTTTTGGCGAAAAAAAAAATTACCGGTGACTTTTTCTCTCAGTGTTCAAAATGGTCTATAAATGAAATCAAAAAAAAACAAAGTCAAGTAAATCTGAAAATATTGATAGGAGCAAAAAAATGAAGGCAAGCGAGATAAAAATGAGTAAAATTGCCCTATAAAAACTCGTCGTCAGTAAGGGAATTCCATATTTATAAAGCTAATGCTTAAGTGGAGCTGAAAGTGGAAAAGTTTCACTGTAGCATATGAACCAAGCAAAAAGAGCGATTGACCGAATGCATGGGGATAAAAAAAATTAGCCATTGCTTCTGTGAGATTTTTGAAGCAAAAAAACAGAGGTATAATAACTGCGCGCAGTCGCAAGCTCCCGAAGGCAACATTTAGGAACTGTCCAGCCGTACCTATTTGCTCTCAACTTAACCAAAGTATCAGCCTTCCAAATTGGGGAGCCCACTATTGACGACCGGCTTTTTTGTAAGACAGTTTCCAATCGTGCAGGCTCATTTTTTTGCCCTTGCTTTTTTTGCATTTATACGTAGGTTCAGAATTCTTTTAGCTTTTTCTATTTTTGCTTTTATTCATAGGCTCAAGTTTGCTTTTACGTTTCCTTGTTGTGCTGTGTTGTTTATTTTCCTTTACTACTGTCTCCAGCTCTTGCCTCCAACTCCTGACTAATACCCTTGTTCCCCTTCTCTATCCTGCCGCCAGTTCCTACCTTCAGAGCGGCTTCTGGAAAACTACTAACCACCATTCCCCAATCTCGTTCCTCTCCATTACCACTCAGGAAATGCTACCCAGCGCTCAGTTGCATCATGCCAAGCACTGCCGGCAAGTGACGCTTCAAAACAGCATTAACGAGAACGTCTCTCAACGGCGGCCGAACCGAGTCGATCCGAGCTGAGTTCTGGTAATCGTCTTCTAATGAGATATGTCAACCCAGGTAGAAACGCACCAGGTTTGCCGGTGCGATCACACGCTTCCGCATCAGGCTTGAAGTACTCAGACTAACTGCATTATTTGCTGCTCTACATCTATCTTTTGTGCTCACTAGCGTAAATCACCATAAGTTTTGTATAAAGTAAATGAACAATTTTCTAACAGTTGTTTTTCGAATTTGAGATCTTTAAATTGCACATGGACAAGGAGCATCCCATGAAATTTCAGCCTTCCAGCTTTTCTGGTTACCAAGTTAGCAATTTACCCGTCAAATCCTTCGTGTGCTCGTGCTTGAGAACCACGCACATCTGACGGCTGAATTTAAAATATTTAAGTTGTACTCGGACAGACAACATTCCTCAAAATTTCACTTTTCTGGCTTTTCTGGTTCCCGAATTAGTAATTTTCCCTCCAAAACTTTCATACGCCCTTACTTGAGTACCGTGCACATCTGGAGCCTGTGTTTGAAATCTTCATCTCAAACATGCACAGGAAAAATCCTACAAAGTTTCAGCTCCTTGTCTTATCTGGTTCCCGAAGTCGCCTTTCCGCCAAAAAATTTGCGTATTTTTTCAAGACGTTCGTGCGCGACACCCACGGGTAGACGAGGGTGATATTAAAACGGGAGGGTCGCGCGTGGTGTAGGCACATAGCTCCAATGTTCCAGCCTTCTAGCTTTTCTGGTTCTCGAGTTAAAAGTAGGTGACAAAAAGCGGGAACACATAGACACACACAGATAAACATACAGACAGCCTCTTGCCAACATGCTTATTTGCAATTTGTATACATGTAAAAAAGCATAAAAATGGAATTTGACGGAGCCTCATAATGCAGTATTGTTACCTCAGCCGGTATTTTTCTCTGATCGGCGCAGGAAAAAACTTTCCATCACAAGCGAACATTTCCAAATTAAACAGTAAGGCAACAACCATTCATTTTGTAAGCAATCTTTCTACATGAAATGGCGTAAAAATGAATAATCGTACCGGCAAGCCTGGCACACCAAGATTACTTCGTATGACTATTTATTTCTTTTTTTTTTTGTAAAAATTTCTGTGGCCGTAATATGAAATGCGATTTACTAAATTTAGGCCGGAAAATGGTATTTTAAGCACCACAAAAGATAGCAGAAGGAGCAGCCCTAAGCGGCAACAACAGCAAATGGTAGGCCAACAGCAACAAGAAAGTTATGTAATAACGCCAGAAATGAAACGGTCAAGATCACCGATACAATTTCGGTTGACGCTCGGTAAGAAACAACGGCCCGCATCAGTTGGATCAGGTGGCACACAGGATGGTGATGCAGATGGTGCAGTCGAGCGACCTCGAACAGCGGAAACCAATTTTGATATACATTCAGTAAAGATTTGAAAAACAAATCAATTGTTTTTGATTTAAAAAATAAAATTATTACTAGTTTCAATATTTGCTAATTTGTAGTAGTCGTTAATTGTAACATTCCTTTTTACTTAATATTGTTACTGTTTAGTTATAAGCATCCCTGCTTATGCAAATGCCTCGGAATCAAACAGCTTCCCGTTTAGTCAAAAGAAATTTTGAAACAGCTTTTATTTTTTTTTTTAAATTACTGCGTTATCTCTGTGAACGATCCTCACAGTCGGTTACGGATTAATATTTCAAAGATAAGACAGTTTGAAAGGACAAAAACAAACCACATATTTTTGGACTTGCTTAAAATTTAATTCTTCATCTGCAGCCTCTGAGAAGTTATGGTCGTCTGGTACGTGAAGATGAACTGGATGTGCAGCCCAATGAGAGTGTAATATTAGTTGAAGATACAGTGCGAAACAAGCCCATTTCTTCAGGTATCAAAGACTTAGATTTGCTTTTGCATGAAAGTTCACTGCATAATTTCAGTCTGGCTAGCTGTAGTGCAATTTTCAGACCGTTACGACGTACCGCCGAACGATTACAGCACAACACTCATCGATGGAGCGGTAAACTCTCAAGCTAAAATCGGTATCAATTTTATCTACAAAATTTAAAATCAGCGCACTAGCTCTCCAAAATAATTGTGGCCTATAAGAGACGAGGAGGGCGGGGTTGAGGAAAGGAGAAGGAATATATCTCCCCTCTTACTGGGTTTTTGTGACGATGTTTCGCATTAGTAGTGTTTCAAGCGTATTTTTTAGGAATTCAAAAAAAAAAAAATGCTTTTTATGACAATAATCATAATAATATTAATAATAATAATTATCATTATTAGCATCATTATAGTCATAGTTGTGATGATAGACATAATCATAATTACGATGGCAATAATAGTCATAACTGTGTTTATAATAATAGCAATAATGACGATAATGATTGTCTTTCCTCACCGAATTTTTAAAATATCTTTTTAAAAAAATTCTTGACTGTATAAGAGGTGCGTGACGTTGTGAAACCTTTTTTATTCTAAGGATTTGTCACGACATGGCCTACTGTAATTAAATCCAGGAATAATTAAAGCAGAGAAAGAGCTGAAATCCCAAAATTTTACAAATTCTGAGTGTCTGTGCCAGCTTATTCACAAGTAAAACTTGATAATGGGGAATAACAGGCGATACCTGCAGATGTACCATTACGTTATAGGTGCTGGGAAAGTTCCTGAATTTCATCATTATGGTGACAGAGTTGGGGATCGACTTCTTGATCGTAGGCAGTTAAATTTGGAAGAAGGCCTCTCTCCACATCCTTATAAACCCGAGAGCAGGTGATTTTTTTGTTGTTAAATTTCACACAGCTTTCAAGTGCGACTGTTGTTACTCACGTTAGACTGTTCTTTTTTCGA